CCCGACCCACAGGTTGAGAACCACTGGACTAGACATACCCAATTCCAGCAACTGTTCCTTGTATGTTTTAGCCTCCAGCCCCCTGATCATCTTTGTACTCTTTCTAGAATCTCAACATCTTTTTTACATCGTGGTGACCAAAACTGGATGCAGGATTCCAAGTGTGGCCTTACCAAGGCCTTGTAAAGTGGTATTAACACTTCACGTGATCTTGATTCTTGATCTGCAAAATACTGGAAGGGACCTTGGAGGTCTTCTAGTCCAGCCCCCTGCTCAAGCAGGAGGACCTATACCATCTCAGACAGGTGATTGTCCAGTCTCTTTTTAAAAACTTCCAGTGATGGAGTGCCCACGATTTCTGGTGGCAAGCTGTTCCACTGGTTGATTGTCCTCACTGTCAGGAAATTTCTCCTTAATTCCAGGTTGCTTCTCTCCTGGATTAGTTTCCAACCGTTGTTTCTCATCCTGCCCTCTGGTGCTCTAATCTCACTCTTCCACCCAGCACAGCAGAAAGAGCTCTCAGGTGGATCAAACAAGATTCTTGTGTGATCTTGAAGTTCCAGTTGTCCTGTCTGTTTTGAGTCTGGCTTACAGAATGTTTTATCTCATTTCAGCCACCAGAGGGCACTGTTGATTCATAAATCTAGCAAGTTCCTGGGTATCTTTAAAATAATAAAAGGTAGTCCTGGACTTAACAAGGGTTCATTTAGTGACGGTTCAAAATTATAATGGTGCTGAAAAAAGTGACTTATGACTGTTTTTCACACTTACAGCCATACAGCATCCCCACGGTCATGTGGTCAAAATTCAAACATTTAGCAACTGACTCATATTTATGACGGTCGCTGTGTCCCGGGGTCATGTGATCCTTTTTTTGTGACCTTCTGACAAGCCGAGTCAATGGGGAAAGCCAGATTCACTTAACGACCATGTGATTAACTTAGCAATGGCAGTGATTCATTTAACAAATGTGGCAAGGAAGGTCATAAAATGGGGCAAAACTCACTTCACAACTGTCTTGTTTAGCAAAGGGAATTTTGGCCTTTAATTGTGGTCGAGGACTACCTGTATAGGTTTAGGCCAGGAGTGGGCAACCTCGGCTCTTTTATGACTGGTGGACTTCAACTCCCAGAATTCCTGAGCCAGCATGACTCAGCTTGGAAACCTCTCCCTTTCCCCTCAGCTCAGGAATTCTGGGAGTTAAAGTCCACCAGTCATAAAAGATTGCCTACCCCTGTCCAAATGCCTGAATTTTGATCACATGACTGTGAGGAAAAAATATTTAAATATTTAAACCAGGGGTCTTAAAACTTGGCCCTTTTATGACTCGTGGACTCCCAACTCCCAGAATTCCTGAGCCAGTATGGGGGAACTATGGCCCCTACATGACTTGCGGACTTCAACTCCCAGAATTCCTGAGCCAGCCATGCTGAGGGGAAAGGGAGAGGTTTCCAAGCTGAGCCATGCTGGCTGAGGGATTCTGGGAGTTGAAGTCCACGAGTCATGAAGGGGCCATAGTTCCCCCATGCTGGCTCAGGAATTCTGGGAGTTGGTCCACAAGTCATAAAAGAGCCAAGGTTCCCTACCCCTGATCTATCTATCTGTCTATCCCGTGTTTCCCTGAAAGTAAGGCCCACACCAAAAATAAGCCCTAGCTTGATTTTTGGGTGTGGGCCTAATATAAGCCCTACCCCCAAAATAAGCCTTAGTTTTGGGGTGAGGACCACACCTAATAATCAAGCTAGGGCAGGGGTGGGCATGTGGAGCTTACCTGGCAGCGAGGCCTCTCCTCGCTGGCCCACTTCTTCTTCTGAGGCCTCTTCTGCAGCTAGGCCTGCATTTCTCAGTCATGGGGCTTTCCGGAAGGCCTCTGCAGCCAAGAACCGAGCTATGGATTCAATCCGTACTACAGTTCTGCAAAACCTCTGCAGCCGAGCACCGAGCTATGGATTAAATTCATAGCTTGGTACTCGGCTGCTCAGGCCTTCCAGAAAGGCCTGACTGCAAAATGCAGGCCCGAATGCAGCTGCAGAACTTGGGCCCCAGAAGAAGTGGACCAGCTGGGTGGGGATGTCGGTGCCAGAGGTGAGGTAAGGCCTACCCCAAAAATAAGACCTGGTGCCTCTTTTGGAGGCAAAAAAATAATAATAAGACCCGGTCTTATTTTCGGGGAAACACGGGTGTATATATATTGGGTCCTCTAAGTGGCATGTCAGCTTAAGGGCTCTGCAGCTCTCCTTCAACTGTCCAGATAAAAGGTGAAATGTTCTAGATTCCCGGCAACTCTATGGAGACATCCATGTTGTTGTTGTACACCCAGGTTATAAATTACTTACTTACAGGTGTAGTTTCCTTGGCAACCATTCAAAAATGTTGTGGCTTTCTTTTTTAAACTTCCCTTTTTGGTCAAGTCTCTTGACATTCTCTACAGTGGTATTTTTCAATTGAAGATATATGGACTTCAGCTCCCAGAATTCCCCAACCAGCAGGCTGCCAGGCTGATGAAATGGGTCTCCCTGAAGCACTACTAAATTTACCATAAGCCAGAGTTCGGTTTGGCCTTAGCCTAGGGGTAGGCAACCTCGACTCTTTTATAAAAGACTCGTGGACTTCAATTCCCAGAATTCCTGAGTCAGCATAGCTGACTCAGAAATTCTGGGAGCTGAAGTCATAAAAGAGCCGAGGTTGCCTACCCCTGCCTTAGCCTGTCCTATGAATCCAGCCATTATGGTTTTAAACCATGGTTTATGACTTAACATCATGTGTAAATCCAGCCAGTGATGGGCAGGGGTGCAAACTATGATTAAAACAATTCAGCACCGTGGGCAAACCCAGATTATCTAGAGCAGGGGTTTCCCCACTGGGTCCTGCTAATTTTTTATTCCCAAAGTTTTGTCTCTTGATTGAGATTTCAAAATTTCAGCTGAGTCCAAAGCCTGAAAAAAAAATTGAGAATTCAACAGGGGGAACCAATTGCGGGCACCATCTTGACTTTTTTGACCCCTCCTGAATACACACACACACCCAAGAACAAATATCAATGCCAGGGGCTATTTCGGAAACTAAGTTCAACTTTAGAAAACAGAGCCCAGACATCTTCCTGATAAAGGTGGAAAATGTAACTGATTGTTCCACTCTAGGGCAAAAAATCTTACAGTATTGAAAGCTTCACTCCTTGCTGAATTCAAGGGAACCAGTTAAAACAGAATTCTTAAAAAGTCAAGGACATATTTACTTATTGCCCGGGGTTGAAATCTTAGGAAAATCTTTATTTTCATTCTTTTGGTGGATGGGTGGGTGTATCATACAAACACACTCTCCTCTTTTGTAAAGTTTGGGAATACCCAGCTTGATAGATCCTGAAAAAAACACAGACACCAATGGGTTTGGGCTGAAACCCAACAAAATATTTTCATTCTTTTGGAGGGTGTGCGTGTATGCGTATCGCACCCAAACACACTCGTCCCTTTGGCAAGGTTTGGGAATACCCAGCTTGACACGTACATACACAAATGGTTTTTGCACCAGTGGCTTGCTACGGGAGCCTCTCTTGGAATACAATAGAGTTGGAAAGGACCTTGGAGGTCTTCTAAATGAACTGTGAAGGAAAAGCAATGGATAACTATTTTTATGGCCAAATAGCCTCACAGGAACAAAACTAGGATTCATTTAGCCAAAGGTTAGGCTGCATCACTGGGATAGACGGCCCAGAGCCACTCATGAAGCTTATGCCCAAGACAGGACTAGAACTCAGAATCTCCTGGTGATTGGCCCAAAGTCACTCATGAGGCTTTCATGCCTAAAGTGGGACTAGAGTTCAACGTCTCGTTCCTAAACCAGCATTTTAATCTAGACCAGGGGTAGGAAACCTTGGCTTTATGACTCATGGACTTCAACTCCCAGAATTCCTGAGCCAGCCATGCTGAGGGGAAAGGGAGGTTTCCAAGCTGAGCCATGCTGGCCCAGGAATTCTGGGAGCTGAAGTCCACGAGTCATGAAGGGGCCATAGTTTCCCCATGCTGGCCCAGGAATTCTGGGAGCTGAAGTCCACGAGTCATGAGGGGGCCATGGTTCCCCCACGCTGGCTGAGGAATTCTGGGAGTTGAAGTCTGCGAGTCACGAAGGGGCCAGTTTCCCCATGCTGGCTGAGGACTTCTGGGAGTTGAAGCCCACGAGTCACAAAAGGGCCATAGTTCCCCCATGCTGGCTCAGGAATTCTGGGAGTTGTAGTCCGTGAGTCATGAACAGCCATAGTTCCCCCATGCTGGCTCAGGAATTCTGGGAGTTGTAGTCCGTGAGTCATGAACAGCCATAGTTCCCCCATGCTGGCTCAGGAATTCTGGGAGTTGTAGTCCGTGAGTCATGAACAGCCATAGTTCCCCCATGCTGGCTCAGGAATTCTGTGAGTTGGGAGTCCACCAGCCAAGGTTGCCTACCCCTGCACTAGACCAAACTTGCCCTAACTAGCATTTGCAGCATTTTGCAAAGCAGAAAAAATATTTAGAGAGGGAGAAAAAGGATGAGGTGGGGAGAATGCAATACTGTAGAGTCCCTAACTTAAAACCAGTGACCATTTTGATGTTACGACGTTGAAAAAGTGACTTATGACCACTTTTCATACTGAGGACCACTGCAGCATTCAATCAAAATTCAGACGCTTGGCAGCTGCCTCATATTAATGACTGTTACAATGTCCCGGGGTCCTGTGATCCCATTTTGTGACCTTCTAACAAGCAAAGTCAATGGGGAAAATCAGATCCGCTTAAGAACCGTGTTCCTAGCTTAACTGCAGCGATTCACTTAACAACTGTGGCGAGGAAAGGTCCTAAAATGTTGCAAAACTCACAAGTGTCACGTTAGCAACAGAAATTCGGGGCCCAGTTGTGGACTTTTATCTACGAAAACTATTTGCTAAAGCCTCAATAAGCAGAGGTAATTTTACTGGGGTGGGAGAAAGAGGAGGTTTAAAAAAAAAACTACAGAGCCTTTGTGCAACCAGCTTCGTTAAAACAACTCGGCAAAATAAAATTCCGGTTTATTGTTGGACAATATTGTTTTCACACATACATCAAACAGGCCAAAAAGAAAAACAAAAAATTAACAGCAACTTCTTAGACAAAAAGAAAAAAACAAAAACAAAAAAAACAAAACCTTTTTAATCTTTGGCCTTGCCATCTCATACAAACCCACTACTTTTATGGTACAAGGTAAAGTACATACACAAAAAAAAAAGTGTTGTTGGAATGCTCATCATAAAACGTTGGATTATTATTATTTTTTGCATCCTTTTTTTTTTACAAGGTCTTTTTAAGTTTTCTTCTCCTTTCGAGACAATGGTTTTTTGTTTTATTTGGACACGGTCACACCACAAAGTCAGGAATTTTTTTTGTTTCGTTTTTTTTGTTTGTTTGTTTCGTTTATAAGGAACAAAGGAAAAAAAGCACACTTCAAAAGCCCCCCTCCCCACCCTTTTGGTCAATCGGAGATCGCGTTAAAAATGGCTGACCTCATCACAATATGTACAAAAATATAAAATGTAAATAAAAAATACAAACAAATTCTCCTTTTAAAGTTACTTTTAAGAAAGCAAGCTGGGCCTTGAAGTTTCCAGTGGGGAGGGGAGGGACAGACTCCCCAGCCACAATGGGGGGAGATTTTCGGGGGGTGGGGAAGGGGTTCAAGTCAGAACAAAATGGCGGTTCTGCGCCGTACGGCTTTTACAGGGTTCGTTTGCTCTACTTTATGATGGTGACCATTAGCAACAAGGGGACGTTATTTATTTATTTTTTTTCTGTAACAGGAAGTTTTCAAAGGTAAAAGTAGGTCACGCTGGCCTTTTTTTAAAAAAATTTTTTCCTCTTTTTTAAGTTTAAAAAAAAAAGCTGTTTCTTTATTATTCTATTCTCTAATCGTCTTCGTCGGTTTTCTGCTTCTTCGGATCGACATCGTCGTCCTGCAAGGACAAAAAGGGCCACAGAAATTAATCTTTTTTCTGCTCCTGGAATCTGTTTTCGCGGCCGGGTCCGTCTCTCTGACAGTAGAGAAACTCAGGGTTGAACTGGGGATCCTTGGTGCTCTGATCTTGGTTTTCTTGCAGACGTTTCACGACCCAACTAGCTTACATCATCAGTGCTAGAAGGAAGGACTGTGGGATCTTTAGTGCTATCTGAATTTGGTGGTTTTCTTGCAGACGTTTCACAACCCGATTAGGTAACATCATCAGTGTTAGAAGAGAGTGGGAGGATTTCTCAGTTTATGTACAAGAGCTTGTGTTGTTATTATGGTGATTCCTTTGTTAGCCTGCTGTTTGCTACTGATTGTTGGTCTAATATTAATCTTGGGGTCAGTCTCCAACTCGCTCCTAACACTGTGATGTTCTCTAGTTGGGTCATGAAATGTCTGCAGCAAAAACCACCCAACTCAAATAGCAAAGACCCCCCCCCCAGTCCTCCTAGCATTGATGATGTTACCTAGTTGGGTCATGAAATGTCTGCAAGAAAACCACCAAGCTCAGAGAGCACTAAACACCCCATAGTCTTCCTCCTCCTCCTAGCACTGATGATGTTACCTACTTGAGTAACAAAACATCTTCAAGAGAGCCACAAGGATGCCCCAGACCCATCTTCCTGTATCTTTCAGCAACACAACAGCAGGAGCCCCTCACCACCTTACTGATCCAACAGAACAAGCGGTGCAGGAAAAGCACGTTTATCCTTTCACACGCCCAATTGCCTCCCCATCCCATTTTCTTCTGTTATTTTTGTGGGGGCTTATCACACAAAGCCTCCCTTGTGCGGGATCAAGACGTTTTCTAAATTTGGTAAATAAATAAAAATTAAAAAATCCTTAAGTCTCCACAAATGGCCTTTTTCCTAATGCCATGGGGTTTTTTTTCTATCTGGGTCAGACTACATCCCCCATCTTCCTCAGCCAGCCTGAGGTCCCTGCCTAGAATCCTGTGTGCTAAGAGTTACAGCTTGGATTATCTGATTGCCGTTGCGCTGAAGGTCCCTGGGAATGTCGGTTTATGAAAGTGCTTTTTTCAAGGGGTAACTGGACTTTCCGGTTTTTCTTTGAAGACGTTTTGCTTCTCATCCCAGAAGCTTCTTCAGCTCTGCCTGGAGGGTGGAGGATGGAAGGATTTATACTCCTTGCAGACAGCTGGTCATTTGCCTTCTTTTAGAGAGGAGTTGAGGCCACTTGGAGATTTATCTGGGCCCTCAGGGTCACCTGAGTGGGGCAAATGGATGTGGAGCCTTCTTGGATCTGCAGAAAGGACCCCATTGCAGACAGTCCTTTTAGCCGTTCCAAGAAGGCACCACTCAGGTGACCCCGAGGACAGAGTTAAATCTCCAAGTGGCCTCAACTCCTCTCTAAAAGAAGGCAAATGACCAGCTGTCTGCAAGGAGTATAAATCCTTCCATCCTCCACCATCCAGTCAGAGCTGAAGAAGCTTTTTGGATGAGAAGCGAAACGTCTTCAAGGAAAAAAAAAAAACAAGGAAGTCCATTTGCCTCCTGGAAAAGCATTTTTGGGACAATTATGACCTCGGATGATGGAGAATCTCTAGATATTAAAAATTATGAACGGTAGAGATGGGGCCAAAACTGCTCCCCTCCTGGCTTTCTCTCCAAGGGTCCCTCACCTCATCGTCTTCAGCTGCCCGTTTGCCGGTCAGACCTTCAGCTTCGTCGTCTTCATCGCCATCTTCTTCTTCGCCTAGAGAAGGAAGGAAGGAGAGCTTGAGAAACGAGCTCCTGCCCGAAGTTTCTTTACATCAGGGGTCTTCAAACTTGGCCCTTTGATGACTGACTTGTGGACCTGGCTGAGGAATTCTGGGAGTTGAAGTCCACAAGTCATCAAAGGGCCCAGTTTGAAGACCCCTGTCTTAAATCTAACAAACAAAATGGAGGCTGACTGAGGAATTCTGGGAGTTGAATTCCACCAGTCATAAAAGGGCCATGTTTGAAGGCCCCTGTCTTAAATCTAACAAACAAAATGGAGGCTGACTGAGGAATTCTGGGAGTTGAATTCCACCAGTCATAAAAGGGCCATGTTTGAAGGCCCCTGTCTTAAATCTAACAAACAAAATGGAGGCTGACTGAGGAATTCTGGGAGTTGAATTCCACCAGTCATAAAAGGGCCCAGTTTGAAGACCCCTGTCTTAAATCTAACAAACAAAATGGAGGCTGGCTGAGGAATTCTGGGAGTTGAAGTCCACCAGTCATTAAAGGGCCAAGTTTGAAGACCCCTGTCTTAAATCTAACAAACAAAATGGAGGCTGGCTGAGGAATTCTGGGAGTTGAAGTCCACAAGTCATTAAAGGGCCAAGTTTGAAGACCCCTGCTTCCCATCCTTCCAGGCTAATCCCCAAGACAGTGCCTTCAAAGCGGTCAGGGGTCTGCCAGAAGAGACGGGTTGAATTTATCTAAACCAGCATCCCGTTTCCTGTCCATTGGCCAAACCAGATGCCTACAGGAAGTTGCAAAACATGAGGACGGAAGGGAGTCCTTCCTGAAATGAGTTGCTTCTAGGGACATGTAGAAACCAATCAGGCTTTCTGATGTGCCAGCTGTGTGTTTGTTATGTGTGTGCCAGACCAACACAGCCAACCTTCCCCGATTCTCTTCCTTTTCCAACACAGGGAGACATTTCTGTCACTAAGCGAGATAGTTGCAAAGTGGATTTTTCCCCCTTTTACAACGATCCTTGCAGTTGTTTGTGACACTTGTTAAAAAGTTGATTCGGCTTGTTGCAAGGTCGCAAAAGGGGATCTACGTGACACACACATCCCCCGCCCAGTACACTGCAACCGTCGTAAATACGAGTCAGTTGCCAAGCGGCTGAGTTCTGATGACGTGACCACGGAGATGCTGCCACGGTCGTTAAAATGTGAAAAAAAATTGTCGTCACTTCGAACGGTCACTAAGCAAACCGTTGTAAATCGAGGAACATTAAAAAAACCCTGTGCGGCAATAGGAAGCGTTTTGCTGAACACTCATCCATTAATTTCTGCCACGCATGCAATTGTTAATGAATGTTAATTTTAATCTGAAATCCTGGCAAAGAGGACGTGGCTAAGAGGTAAGCTACCAAAGTGTTGGAAAAGCTTCCGGCTCCTTCCAAGAACCCCGGGGAGAAGAGAGACTTCATGGGAAAAGCCGGCGGATGGGATGGAGGTCCTCAGGCCTTCCAACCGAGGCCACACAAGGCCCCGGGCAGCCAAGCGGGGGCTGCTTTGCCCGGCCGAAAGCCCATTACTTCCGCCTCTCTTCTCCATCATAAGCCTCTCCTTAATGAGAGAAGAGAGCCAGAACTCCCGCCAGTTTGGGCACAAGGTTTCCAATTATCCCGCTTCTGGATTCTCCCCCGTTTCCCTTCAAATTCTGAGAAGGAGAGAGACAGAAAATAGGAGAGAGAGGAAGGGCAGAGGACAGAGAGAGGAGAAAGAGAGGAAAGAAAGAGAAAAAGACAAGAGGGGAAAGGAGGGAGATCGAAGAGAAAGGGGAGAAAGAGAGGAGGGAAAGAAGAGAGGAAGGAAGGAGAGGAAAAGATGGTGGAGTGGAGAAAAGTGAGAGAAAGGAAGAGAGAGGGAAACAGAGAAAGGAGGAAGGAGAGAAAGGAGGAGGGAGAGAGGAGAGAAAGGAAAGGAGGAAGAGAAGGGGAACGAGAAGAAAAAGAAGAGGCATTGAACACAACTTGGTTCAGGGAAGGATGGAAGCAACCCACAGCATCCAGAGACCACCCAATCTGACTGGAGAGGGAGATCTTCCCCCACCCCCCAGAGTTTTCCAGCCAGAGCTGGGGGTGGGTGGGGTTTGCTTGAAGGCTCTTGCATTTAAATAAATGGGCTCGCCTGGCCCTTCCCAGAGGCCAATAAGCTGGCTTAAGTGCCACTGGGATCTGCGAGAGAGATTAGGGTCACCTGAGAGTAACTTTTTCACACACACCCCACCTGCAAAATCAGCTTCTCCAATTTCGTGGCACGCAAAGCCAATTCAGAGGGAGGGGAGAGAGAGAGAGAAGAGAGAAGGAGAGAAGAGGAGAGAAAAGAGGGGGGGAGAGAGAAGAGAGGGAGGAGAGGAGAGGGAGAGAAGGAGAGAAGAGGGGGAGGAGAGAGAAGGGGGAGAGAGAAGAGAAGAGAGGGAGGAGAGGGAGAGAAGAAAGAGGAGAGAAGAGGGGGGGAGAGAAGGGGGAGAGAGAAGAGAGGAGGAGAGAAGAGAGGGAGGAGAGGGAGAGAAGAAAGAGAGAAGAGGGGGGAGAGAGAGAAGGGGGAGAGAAGAGAGGAGGAGGAGAGAAGAGAGGGAGGAGAGGGGAGGAGAGAAGGGGGAGAGAGAGAATAGAGGAGGAGAAGAGAAGAGGGGGAGAGAGAAGGGGGAGAGAGAAGAGAGGAGGAGAGAAGAGAGAGGGAGGAGAGGGGAGGAGAGAAGGGGGAGAGAGAGAATAGAGGAGGAGAAGAGAAGAGGGGGAGAGAGAAGAGAGGAGGAGAGAAGAGAGAGGGAGGAGAGGGAGAGAAGAAAGAGGAGAGAAGAGGGGGAGAGAGAGAAGGGGGAGAGAGAGAAGAGAGAAGAGGAAAGAAGGGGGGGAGAGAGAAGGGGGAGAGAGAAGAGAGAAGGGAGAGAGGGAGGAGAAAGAAGAGAGGAGGAGGAGAGGAGAGGGAGAGAAGGAGAGGGAAGGCAGGAGGGGGGGGGGAGGCTGGCAGTGCAAGGCACCCCCCCCAATGGCTTCTGGGCTCCGTTCCCCCCCCCACACCCTTCCTCCTCCATCAGCAGGCAGGATATTTCCAGTATCCAGGATACTGGAAAACAACAGCCAGGATGTTTTGGGGGGGGGGAGAGAAGCCCTCGATGGGAGCCAGGCGCTTTCTCTAAGTCCTGGCAGAGTCGCCTCCTTGACGGGCAGGCGGCAGGTTTGGCTCAGCGGGCCTGGCAGCTGGCATTTTATGGGCGCCTTCCAGCTGGCGGAGGAGTCAGGGCAGGGCAGCCAAGCCCCCCAGGAGAGAGCGCCCGTCCAAGGCAACTGCAGGTCATTCGAAGCGCCAAAAGCCTTGGCAGCTTTGCCCAGTCTGTGGCATCGATCGACGAGCGAGTCCGTGCACAACGCAGGGCATCCTCGGCTTGCGACGGCTCGCTTAGCGGCCGTTCGAAATTGCAAACCTGGCCCTTTAATGACTGGTGGACTTCAACTCCCAGAATTCCTAAGATGCCATTTTGATAAAACTGCAGGCTTGGATCCAGACCAGGCGTCTTCAAACTTGGCCCTTTGATGACTTGTGGACTTCGACTCCCAGAATTCCTCAGCCAGGCCGTTGCAGCCGTCCCCGTAGTGTGTGTGTGTGTGTGTGTGTGTGTGTGTGTGTGTGTGTGAGAGAGAGAGAGAGAGAGAGAGAGAGAGAGAGAGAGAGAGAGAGAGAGAGAGAGAGTGTGAGAAACTTTGGGTGCTTGTCCACGGGATCCCCTTTGGCAACCTTCCAGCAAGCAAGTCCATGGGGGGAGCCGGGTTCACTTAACAACCTGTTTACTAACTTAACAACTTTTGTGGTTAACAGGGGGCGAAATTCGCTTAACAAATGTTTCGCTTTGCAACAGCAAACGGTGGGAAAGCCCGACAATTAGGGCTAACCCCAAAAGCAGGTGTTTTCCCCAAGATGCACCAGCCCAGGAATATCAAATTTCAGAGACTGCACCTTGTGCCGTGCAAGAACAGACCTGCATTTATCTTCCGGGCAAAAAAATTCTGCTCAGTTAGCAATTACAGGGAATCCCTGCTTAGAGACCGTTCAAAGTTAACAACGGCCCTAAAAAAAAAAAAAAAGACTTATGGCCGTTTTTTTCACACTTATGGTTACTGCAGCATCCCTGTGGTCAAAACTCAGACGCTGGACAAATTGGCTCGTATTTACGACGGTCGCAGCATCTCCGGGGTGTGTCAGGCGATCCCCTTTGGCGACCTTCTGACAAGCAAAGTCAATGGGGGGGGGAGCCAGATCCGCTTAACGACCGTGTTAGTGCCTGAACGACCGCAGGAGTTTTACTTAACAGCGGTGGCAAAAGTCGTAAGACGGGGCAAAGCTCCCTTAGCGATAGAAATTTCGAGCTGAATTGTGGCCGTTAAGCCGAGGACTGCTTGGAATAGCCTCACCCAGCCTTCTCCAAGGAAGACACAAGGGAGAGCTTTCCGGGCGTTGGCGCTCATTTGCAAAAGCCCATCCGGTAAAACTCTTTTCCAGACTATACTGAGATTTGTTCCTTCTATTTAACAGCCTTCTTTCACTCTTGAACGGCTACTTGGTTCAAATGGGGCATTTCCCATTTTGCGTTTCGTCGATCTTAACTGCATATACGTTTATTGGCACGGTATTTTTAGCGGGTTTTATGGAAAACTGCCCAGACAAGTTCAGGTTTTTATTTATTTATTTTTAAATCTAATAAATATTCCACGAGTTCAACTCCAACAGAAGGCTCCAGAATGGGTTTCTCCTCAGTCCCGGAAGTCAAACAGTTTGGAAGAGAGAGAAAGAAAGAAGGAAAGAAGAAAAGAAAGAAGAAAAGAAAGAAAAAAGAAAGAAGAAAAGAAGAAAAGAAAAAAACAAAGAAAAAAGAAAGAAAGAAAGAAAGAAAAAAGAAAGAAAAAAGAAAGAAAGAAAGAAAGAAAGAAAGAAAGAAAGAAAGAAAGAAAGAAAGAAAGAAAGAAAGAAAGAAAGAAAGAAAGAAGCAGTTTGGCCTAGTGGTTAAGTCACCAAGCTAGAAAATGGGAGATGGTGAGTTATAGTCCCATCCTAGCAGGAAAGCCAACTGGGTGACTTTGGGCTAATTGCCAGGAGACGGCGAGTTCTAGTCACGACTTAGTCATGAAAACCAGATGGATGGCTTTGGGTCATCCACTGGGAGATGGTGAGTTCAAATTCTGCCTTAGGTAGGAAGCTGGCTGGATGACATTGGGCCAGTCTCTCTCTCAGCCCAGCCCAGCCCACCTCACCGGGTTGTTGTGGGGGAAAAAAATAGGAGGAAGGAGTATTAAGAATGTTAAGATGGGATAAATATACATCAGTAAAATAATAACTATATTTTTCTGCACATTCTTGCTTGGAATGCAACCCGTCTGGTTTGAAAGAATAGAATATAATAACTTGATTGTCACTTCTAGGTACATTAATTGGCATACGTTAAAATGAAACTTCGCTGCAATGTATGCCAATTAATGTACCTTCAAAATATGACAATCAAGTTATTATTCTGTTCATCCCAGTCCTTTAGAAGGCGGCACCATTAAAGTGAACGGTTGCTTTTAATTCCTGCCCCCCCCTCCAAAAGGTCACACCTGGAGACCTTCTGTGAATTCCAGATCCTGGCACCCGTTTCTGCGAATGCACACAATCCTATTTAGCTGTTTTCCCCCTGCTGAGATCACCACCCACAGGTGTAAAGACGAACTTTTGACTCGTTCATCGTGCCCTACGCAAAAGGGCCACCAGGGGGAGCCAGCCCCCTCCACGCTTCCAATCCTAGCAAAGGCTCAGCCTAACCTTCGTGCCCTCCGTTCGGGCGGGCTGACATTTCCCCCCCCCCCCGAGACCCCAAAAGGGAAAAAAATTACCGTCGCCTTCTTCCTCATCCTCCTCCTCGTCGCCGACCTCTTCCTCTTCGTCGTCTACCTCGTTGTCCGCCTCCTGTTCCCCGTTCTCCTCGTTCTCCTTTGCGGAAATGAAGCACACTTAAAAAAAAAATGGGGAGCCTATCAAACACCCCCCTCCCATCATTTCACCAAACTGGCCCTTACAGATCCGGCAGAACTACAGCCTGTAACAAAGCTATCTCTGTTGGAAGTCCTACAGCTGTGACAAAAGAGCTGTCGTTTACAGGGCAGTTTGCGGGGGGGGGGGGCGGCAATGCTGGCTCAGGAATTCTGGGAGTTGAAGTCCACAAGTCATAAAAGGGCCAGGGTTCCCCACCCCTGCTCTACACACCACAAGCTGGCTGGGGAATTCTGGGAGTTGAAGTCCACACCCCTTCAAGTGATTAAAGTTAGGAAACACTGCCTTATACTCCCCTATATAAATAGAATACTTGAATATGGACTGGTGTTCCTTCCTTACATAAGAACTAATGTCCTGGGGTTCACACACCACTCTAAGTCACAGTTCAGAATCAGAGTGGGAAAGGGACCTTGGAGGTCTTCTAGTCCATCCCCTGCTCAAGCAGAAACCCCCATTCCAGACAAGTGGCCATCCAGTCTCATCTTAAAAGCTTCTAGTGTTGGAGCATCGACAACTTCTAGAGGCAGGTTGTTCCACTGGTTCATTGTCCTCATTGTCAGGAAATTCCTCCTTAGTTCTAGGTTGCTCCTTGATTAGTTTCCACCCGTTGTTTCTTGTCCTGCCTTCAGGCACTTTGGAGAAGAGCTTGACTTCCTCTTCTTTGGGGCAGCCCCTGAGATATTGGAAGACTGCTAATCATGTCACCCCTAGTCCTCCTTTTCACTAGACTAAAATCAACCAAGCAGAATTGCCAGAGTTTGCAGAACCTGTTAATTCAGATTAAACTCCAATGGCTTAAGCTTCTACAGGGGCTGGCTGCCAGCCTGAACTGTCCAGCTTATATCTAACCACATCTGAGGATGGTTGTGTGAATGTGGACGGAGTGATCCCTCGCACCAGGAAGTTAAAAAAAATGAGCCAATGCAAAGTTTCTCCTATTTAGGAAACTTCAATGGGGGGTCACTGGCTCTTCCTACACCCCCCCTCCAAATTTCATCCCAGCTGAGATACTTACAGCATTGCCGTTGGCCGGGGCATCCCTCCCGTTTTCTGTTTCTTCCACAACTTCCTTCTTTTCTTTCAAATCCTTAAAAGGGGGAAAGAGGAAAATAAAGCAGCATGAGTCACCGGGATTCCAGCCTCCCCCAACAGGGTGGGTGCAAATCTCTAGGCAGGAGAACGGCTGACATCCTTTTCCCTCCCCACAGTTGGGGGGGGGGGCAAAAAAAGTAAACACAACGCAGTCAACACAACTCCTATGTAGAAGTTGTAAGACATTCTTTGCTGGCCCTCAACTTTGTTCAATCACAGCAAAAGAGGGGGTTGACCAGATTCAAAACCCTTCCACCAGGGCCGAAGGGCGTTTGTGATGCGTTTTTATTCATTTTATTTTATTTATTTATTTGTTTTTAAAGGGCTCTCCTCTCTCTTATCCCTACAAATGAGGGTACAATTCCTTGGCAAGGCAGTGTGACCTGCCAGTGAACAACTGTCCACCGCCACACCAAAACCCTTGCACTGTTGTGTTTTGGCGTGTTCCAGAGCTGGAAAGGTGAAGAGGGAGCCCTGGTATAAACACCATTCTGCAGGAGCACTTCCTGCAGGGGGAAAAACAAGGTGCCAGGGGCGGATTTAACAACAGGCTATCTATCTTTTTCATCCTCCACGGAGCTCAGCCTTAACAGGCAAATAAAGAAGCTCCTTTTCTCTCTTCCCGCAGATTATTATTATTATTCTCACGACTCAAGAGCGAGCGGCTTTCTTAAACCTCTCCTTCCGCGTCAGCCATTTGCCCTCCAAAACAGCCCACTGTCTTAGCCACCACGTGCCTCAAAACTGCGGCCAAAGTGGGAATTTAAAAAGGATTTTCCTTTTTAAAAAGTGAGCTGCCAGCCCCATCTACTCTCTTAACGAGTATAAGTAGTTCTGGACTTAGAAGACAGGCATTGAAAAAAGTGACCGATGACCAGTTTTTTTTGCTCTTATTTCCTTTGCCCCTTGATCCAAATTCAGGTGCTCCGCAACTGCGACGGGTTTTTTTGCTGTGCCCCAAGGTCACGTGACCCGGTACGGATCCCAGATTCATTTAACAACCACGGTACCCCCTTATCAACTGCACAACTGTGGCTAGATATGTTGTAAAATGGGGCAAAACTACACTTCACCAATGTCTCACTTAATGAAATTTGGGGGCTCAACTGTGGCCATTGAGCCGAGGACTACTTGTAGTTTCTACCTTTCCTGCCCTTATGGGTTGTTGCAAAAGCTGGCTTGATCTGTCTATCCAGTCATTCTAATTTCCAGATCTTCTAAAAGGCAAACTCTTTGCTTTGCGGTAGGAAAGCAGCAGCCGAATTCATGGGAAAAAAGCATCCAGTTCCCTAAATTTGAACTTTTTACTGCTTCCTCCCAAGCTAAAGCTGCTTTCTATGCAAAGGGCAGGAAAAGCCGCTGCTGCCCCTGTCTCCAATGCCCTTTTCAAGAACACAAGCCATTTTTTTTCCCCTTTTTCCTAGACAGTCTCCTAGAAAAATCACCCACCGCAGCCTCCAGTTTACAAGCAACAACACGTTTGAAGTCCAATGTTTACGTCTTTGACAGATCCCGATAAGGCTCCCTTATAATTATAAGCCCTGAAAAAGCTGTTTACTGCTTCAAGGCCAGCCACAACACAGGGCGAGGGCTGATCCTAAAAGTTGTCATCTAGGCAAGGCATTATTAGCAAAAGCACACAAAAACAAAAGCCAAGGTCTGGCCATTGTGTATCTCAGAGACACATGTTTTTTTAATGGCCCCACCAATACAGAAGAATGCCATTTACTAACAGGGAGAATATGGGCAATAAAACAGAAGCCATAATAAGCCAAACAAACACACACACACACACACACCTCCACTACCACTGCAGCTTTTAGCCAAAAACCACACGCTGCCAAATGCATTGATGCACCCTTTATTAATTCCAAGCTTTCTTAAGTGCTTCTCTCCCTAATTCTTAATCAGGCAGAGAGTGTGTGTGTGTGTGTGTGTTTTTTTTGGCTTTTCAAAAGCCCATTTAAAAAGAAAAACAAGCTGGCAGTAACGACATCCTCCTTCCTGCAGGGGGCGCAAGAGCTGCACCCCCCCCCTCTTCCCCGCGGCCGGCGGCGGCAATCAAGGCCATGCGCTCTGGGCCAATTCAAACCTGCGCGCCACAGTTGGCGCCACTTCGATTGGCCGGCCGGCCCCGACCTCCCAAAGTACGCCGGGGCGCGTAGTCCTTCCCGAGCGGGGGGAGCGCAGTCAAGGAAATAGGCAGCGGCCGGGGGAGCGGACTACGACTCCCAAGAGGCGCCGCGCGGGCGGGGACCGGGGAAGGCGAAAAGCGAGAGAAAGCGGCACGTGGTGGCGGTGGGGCGGCTTTGGCTTGCCGCTCGCGCGCTGTTTACTGCGGCCGCAGACAGCCGGGGGCGGCGCTGGAGAGAAGGGCCGCCGCCCGCCTGGGAAATCAATCTCAAGCTTTCTCCCCCCCCCCACTCGGCATTTTAATGCCCAGATGCCGGGAGCGGGGAAAAAGCAGCGCAAGGCTTTTCCCCAGGACTGGATATAGGGTGTGTGTTTGTGTGTGTGTGTGGGGGGGGTAAACACCCCCCTCCCCTACGAGGGGTTCCCCGGGGAGGGGAGCCCCGCGATCCCCGGGGCTGCCCTCCCCACCGAAATCCCCGCGAGAGCCACGTTCCACCCGCTTTCCAGCCCCGCAGGTTGCGACCTGCCCCAAAGGTGACCCTTTGCAGGAACAAAGCCCCCCCCTTCTCCCTCCCCGCCCCGTCTAGGGTCCGGGGCGGGATCTTTTGATAATGCGCCTTCCCCCCCCACACACCCGATCCAGGTCGATCCCCGCGTGGGAGAACGCGGGGCTGGGCCGATCGGCGTCGGGGAGGGGGCTCCCGGCCGCCTCTTCCCACCAGGGATGGGGCCGGAATTGCGCTCCCCCCCCGCTGCCCTTCTCTCCGGCATCCCCGAAGCTGGCAAGCCGGCGATTCCCTTCCCTCCCCCCCCCCCGCCCGGGCACCCAACAACGGCGCTTACATTGTATCCACCGCCCGCGAGGAAGGGAAAGGGCCCGACGGGCGGGGGCCGGAGCCAACCTTCCTTCGCCCCCCACTATCTGCCTTTCGGGGAAGGGGCGCCCCGAAAAACGCCGCGCAGCATCGCCAGCCCAGATGCCCGCCCGTCCTTCCCTCCTCCTCCCTCCATCGGGACGCGCGAGTTCCGCCGGGCGGGCAGCTTCAATCCGCCTTCCGACGTCTCCTCTTGCCTTCTCCCCACCGTCCCCCCCCCCGTCGGAGCGGCTTGCCTCTTCAAGGGGGGAAGGGAAGCAAGCGGGGTTAGGGCCATTCGGAGTTCAAGGGGAGGGGGCGCCCCAACTTTCGGGAGGGGGAGATTCCCCCCCCCGCCGAGGTCTCTAAACACTGCCCCCCCCAGTTTCTCCCTTCGCCTGTCGATTCCCATTCAGCCCTCGGAAGCCGTTTGGCTGCCTTTCGGTGGGAGGGGGGGGGTTTGCCGGTAGAGGACGGAGGGGGCGACGGGGCGAGCCGAGCGATCGGGCCGGGAAGGGGCCGGGAGGCCGCCGCGACGCGCTCCGCCTGCTGGAAACAAAGAAGCGCGCTGCTGGACGGCAGCAAGCCGGGGCTGCCGGATCCGACGCCCGGGGCAGAGCCCGACTGCTTTCCAAGGGCTGGCTCGCTCTCTCTCGCCCCCCCCCCCCCGCTTCCGATTTTCTCTCTCCCGGCAAGAGGCGGGGGGGGGTCCGCGAAGTTGTTTCCGCGCAATTAGCCCGAGCCAATTAGTGCTAACGAAGGGGCGCGCGCGCAAGACGCGCACAACTTGCCCCCCCCCTCGCCGAAGAGGGCAAGCGGGACGGGAAGCCGAGCCGCGCTCCGGGATCAGGTGCGGAGTCGAAACGGCCGGGAATAAGGAAGGCATCTGGCCAAGCCGGCGCCTGCAATCGCGCTCGCCGGTCGGTCAGTTCGCTCGGTCTTTGCCCGGCCAACTTTGGGCTTTTTCTTCCGGCGGGGCACAAAAGGGGTCCTTGAAGTTCGCCGCCCCGTCTGTCAAAAAGCCCCGCGCCGTCTTTCCACCGGCAGCGTCTTCCTTCCCCACCCCACCGTCGCCACCACCAAGCGCCCTTCCGAGCCTGGAAAAGCCCGCGACGGCCCGCGAAACAACCTGCCTTGCCCGCCTCCCGAGGCGTTCCGGGCGCCCCCACGGGGGTGAAACTCTCCCCCCCCCGGCGCGACCCACGCAAGGATGCCAGGCCGGCGGGATAAGAAAGCCGGGCAGCGGCGCCAGAGCCGAGCCGTTCGCAAACAAAGGAAGGAGGAAAGCCCGAGCGGAGGAGACAACACGAGTGCACGCCGCCGTTGCGGGAGAAGCGAAAGCGCAAGGAGCGCATTCACACACGCGCATTTCCAAGCCTACAGGGATTTCCACGGGGGTGCAAAAGGGGTTGCAAGAAAAACAACAACACCCACCACCAGCCGATCCGGACGTTCCGCCCGGGCTTACCTTGGTGGAGATCTCGGAGCTGGTATCCACGGCTGTGTCTGACAGGGCTGGAGCGGCGGAGTTGTGCGGAGGAAAAAGCCCGCGACTTGTACCAAAGGGAGCCCCGAAGACGGGAAGAGATCCGAGGGCGCGTACGCGGCGTGGGCTGGAGAGGAGGGGGGGTGTTGCAAAACGCGGAGGGAGGGGGAAGCGGAGGAGGAGACGGCGACGGAGAAGGAGGACGAAGAGGAGGATGAAGAGCGAAGCCCCGCGACGATAAACGCGCAAGCCCGACAGCCGGGTCAGGAACAATGCAAAGATGGCTTTGGATGCCAGTGGAGGGTTCACGCGGTGCCGCCGCCTTTAATAGACCACTGGGCGGCGCGCGCACTCCCTTCGCCGGCCCCGATTGGGCGGCCCGGGAGAAGCCGCCGGCGCCCATTGGCCGAGCGGCCGAACAATGGGCAAGGCTGCTGACGAGCCGTCGGGGGGCCGCGGCGCCCTCCTCCCCCGGGCGGCGCGCTCGGCAGGCGGGCCGCGCAAAGAGGGGAGGCGCGGAGGCGGCTTTTTGCAAAACACCCGCGCGCAGGAGGGAGGCGCTGCAAAGGCGGCGCAGTTGGAGGGAGGGAGGGAGAGAGGGAATGGGGGGGGGAGAGTTGCACTCACCCCACCCCACTCCGCTCTCTTTGCACGGAGGAGGAGGGGGGGGCTTGCAGAGCGCCAGGGCGCATGTGCCAAGGGAGGGTTATTGTTGGAACGGAGCGCCCGGCGGAGGATCGCGGGCGCCCGCAGACGGAGCGGACCCGGCCAAGGTCGAGAGGGAGCCGTCTCCGGATTGGCTCTCGCCCTCTCTGGTTGCAAAGCCGCCGTTGCACACAAACACATAACACGCACAACTCCTCCCCCCCCCCAATCGTTCCCCCGACGGCGGGGTCCGGAATCCTCCGCGCGGCCTCGTCGGGGCTGCGGAAGCCCCCCCACTCCGTGTTCCTTTTTCGCTCGCGCAAGCGCGCAAAAGGGACGGACTTGCGCGGCCCGCTTGGCCGACGGACGCCCGGGGGTGTTTATTGCCCTGCGCGCACGTGGGAACGCTCGCTTGCGTGTTCGACGGGGGGGGAAGGAGGAACTGGGTCCCCGCTCTCCCCTCCTTCCCCCGCTTTGCCTTTGCAAGGAAGGCAGCCGGACCCCGGGAGCCGCATCTCCGGCTTTGCAGAGCGACACCCCCCCCCGCCCCAAAAGGCGAGGGCAAAAAGCCCTTTTGCAAAGCTGAACCCTCGTTTCCTTGTTTTCCCCCCCCCCGTCGAAGAATCTAGCCAAGCAACGCCGGCGAAAGGGTGCTTCCTTCCCCCCCCCCCGTCCTGTTAGTTTGCAAAGAGACTCGGTCGTTAAGCGCTTGCAATTGCAACTTTGCAAAAAAAATAAAAAGGGGGGGCTGCTGTGCATGCCCCCCCATCCCGCCCGCCCCCCCCCAAAACAGTCAAAAGCTGCGGCGGGCGCCCTTCGGGGTCGCGCGGTTGCCCCTCCCCCCGTCCGTGGTAGTTTGCAAAGCGGGGGGGGGTTTGCATTTCGGGGTGGGGGGCGTCTGACCTCCCCCGAATTGCAACCCACGGGATGCAAAGGGCGAAAATGTGCTCGGTTGCCCCCCCTCCCGAGACCCAATGGAGGCGGCGGAAAAGGGCAAGTCGGCAAGACCTGCCACACCTAAGATGGCGCCTGGCGCCCTTGCCTGGGATACCAGCCGGTGCCGTGGCGCAGTCGAGGCCGCGAACGGGTCGCGTCCCACGCAGCCGCCTTCTCCGCCGCTCCAACACCCCCTTCTCGGGGTCCGGGTTCGGCGACGCCCGCTCGGACCGGCCGTAAAACGTCCCCCTGCCTCGGTGGCTTTTGTGCCACACTCAACATGGCCGCCGTGGCGCATCCGCGCCAGGCGCACGGAAGGCGGGACATGGAACTCCGACGGTTGTCATTCGCCAGGAGGCCCGAGCGAACACAATGTTGACGCTTTGCGGCGTGTCATTGGACGCCGCTGCTGCCATTCGTGATTAAAAGTGCGGGGGAAAACCGGGACGCCCGGATCAGATCCTCTCAACGGAACGGAGTCGCTTTGCTTGAAAGCGCTCGCGGCTGCCGGTTGGTCGCGATCGCCTTTGTGAATGTTGCATTTTACACGCGGGTGACTTAAAAAACGCGGCGCTGAGTTCAGAAGTTTGCATTGCAGAGCCGCGTGGCTTATTGGCGGTCTGTCTCCTGCCACCTTTCTTTCAAAAGCGTCCGGTTAGGACTTTTGCAGTTTCTTAATTTAGAAAAAAGTTTGCAAAAGTTCCACGTGTAAAGTCCCGCACGATCATGGGCGTTCCTGAGTTATTTCTGTGTTTTGATTTTACGCAGGTTTAATTTTTCCCTGCCGCCTGGAGCTCGCGAGCCGTTAAAATTGGAAGGGTCCCTTGAGACCATCCATCCTACCCCTTTATTGGTGCAGACATCTAAACGGAAGCAGCCCCAGGAAGAGAGTCCCTCGCCTCTCTGGTCCCGAGTTCTGCCCCGATCCCACAACCTGGGTTATGTGATGCTGCGCATTGTACTGTCCCATCAACTTGGGTTTGTGCAAAATCCCAAGCCAGAAACCTGTAACTAAGATGATTTCAATGCACATTTAACACACGTGTTCATCTGCTGAGATTTCTCTTGCCAGCAACAGCACAGCAAGCTCATCAAACCAGGTGGAGGAATTTGGGGTTGAGCAAGTTAAGCCATTATCTCAGGCTAAGGTGTTGTGTTGCAAAAAAAATCTTCATCAGGGTCCGATCCAAGCCAGGAATAAAGAAAGAAGGTTGCAGTTTATTGAAGAGGAGAGCCAGACAGAAAGATGGCTCTGGAAGAAAAAAAGAGCACATTTAGTAGGGAGTAATGGGTTTTTATATCTTCTTGGGCTTTTGTTTGGAGTTGTTCCTGGGGCATGAACTTTGACCTGAGTCTGAGTGGGCCTTTCTGGTATTCTGATGGTGGTGGGTTAATCCTATTATGTCCCAAAAGTCCTATCCTGCTTCCTTGGGGCTGTGGCTGGTGGCTTACATCCCGTGTTGGATTTCTTGAGTGAGGGGTTGTTGACTCTAAGGATTTTTGTCTTTCTAATCCCATCAGCTTCAAAGTTCCTGTCTCCAATCTTTCCAAAAGGATTATCACATTTGCATTACTAACACCTGGCCTCTGCCTAGTTTCTTCTTGGGGCAGAGAGACTTTGGGGGGGGGGTTTCTGCCTAGGACAGTGGTTCTCAACCTTTTTAATGCCGTGACCCCCAACCAGTCGTAAGTCAAGGACTACCCAACCGGTTGTAAGTCGAGGACTACCCAACTGGTTGTAAGTCGAGGACTACCCAACCAGTCGTAAGTCGAGGACTACCCAACAGGTCGTAAGTCGAGGACTTTCCCTGCCCGGGAGCGCCGCACATGCGTGGTGCCGCCCCTGCGCCAGCCGAGGCGTAGCTGGCAAGCGGCAGAGACGGTGCAGGCCAACCATCGGCTGGGCTACCAGCTGGCCCAGCCCAAGGGAGGTGAGGCACCCGCCGGGCCCCACGCGCGCCAGCAACCCTCCCTGCGCCCGCCGGCCTCCCACCTCCCACCCTGGCCCTCTTTTACTTACATTTTTAGTAGTTGCTCAGCAGGGAGGGGTGGAAACTTCCAGACAGCTCGCCTTCGCTGCAGACAACTTGCAGCACTGTTTGCAGAATGGGACTTTTGGCGGGCTCAGCAGGGCAGAGACAGCCCGGACAATTCCTATTGGCTTTTGAAAGCCAATAGAATTAGACTCTATTCAAGAGAGTCTATTCTATCGGCTTTCAAAAGCCAATAGAATTAAAGGGAGTAGCACAGCTAAGGAAAAGGGGAAAAAAATGGCGGACTGCATTGTTTGGCGACCCCCGTGAAATGGTCGTTCGACCCCAAATGGGGTCATGACCCACAGGTTGAGAACCGCTGGCCTAGGATTTTCCATTATGCCTTTGGGGAAATATAATATTCTGCCTTTTTAATATTCCTCATAATATTTCTTTATGGGGGGGGCTGGCTTCCCATAGTGGGAACCAGGTTGTTGTGTTAAAACTTTAATGGTACTTGTTTGGACGTCTCATGTTGCTTGAGCATAATATGGTGGAGACTCGCCCAAAAAGCCACAATCAAGGGATTGATGTCCCACCTGTTTGTTGGGATGCACAAAAAGAAGGGATGGGGCTTTGATTACATGGCTGCCATCTTGATTTTTTTGACCCTCTAAGGCAGTGTTTCTCAACCTTGACAATTTTAAGGCATGTGGACTTCAACTCCCAGAATTCCACAGCCAGCATTGCTGGCTGTGGAATTCTGGGAGTTGAAGTCCACATGCCTTAAAATTGTCAAGGTTGAGAAACGCTGCTCTAAGGCCTCTTACTCCCTCCACCAGGCCAGCTGTGAGACAATGGTCCCAAAACTCTGGCAGGTGCAAAGAGGGAACCTTCACAGTTGTGTGAAGATGTTCCCTTTTTCTATACAGAAGTTCTTCCTCTTTTTACACATGCAGGTGTGCATTGTGTTGCTAGTTTAGTCCTTACAAAGAGACAGTAAAGAAAGAGTCGCAATATTATCTCAACCTTGGCAACTTTATGAAGTGTGGACTTCAATTCCCAGAATTCCTCAGCCAGCCTGTCTTTAAAGTCCACAGGTCTTAAAGTTGCCAAGGGGAATTCTGGGAGTTGAAGTCCACACCTCATAAAATTGTTAAGGTTGAGAAACACTAATTCAGTGGTTCTCAACCTTTTTAATGCCGTGACCCCCAACCGGTCGTAAGTCGAGGACTACTCAACCGGTCATAAGTCGAGGACTACTTAACTGGTGCAGCACCGTTTGCAGAATGGGACTTTTGGCGGGCTCAGCAGGGCAGAGACAGCCTGGACAATTCCTATTGGCTTTGGAAAGCCAATAGAATTAGACTCTATTCAAGAGAGTCTGTTCTACTGGCTTTCAAAAGCCAATAGAATAAAAGGGAGTAGTACAGCTAAGGAAAAGGGGGAAAAAATGGCGGACTGCATTGTTTGGCAACCCCCGTGAAATGTTCGTTCGACCCCAAATGGGGTCCCGACCCACAGGTTGAGAACCACTGCACTAATTCAAACTAAAAGGTACTATCTGAATCCAGAAATTGGATAAATCCAGTAACTAAATTAGGTAAATTGTGCCCCCAAAAAGGGGGGGGGACATCTTCCTTGTCAAGATCATGGTCTTTTTAGAATAAATAAATCTCGGGCCTTTGCAACTACATATAGCTCAGATAGCCAATTTTTCAAGCAGCTGCTTTATAGCTGTACACATTAACTGTCCCCTGTTTGTATTTATTTCCAGAGTTTTAAAATCCCCCCCCCCTCTTATTCCTGCAAACCTTAACAGCATATTTTGAGCAGCTGGTTGAAAACTTGGCAAAACTTTTGGGCACACACTGAGGAGAGCCAATAAATTTGAATGTATTTCTCTGAAAGGATAGGGGCTAGGTTGAGATCTTAGCAGTAGGATTGCCAATTAACTGTTAGGCACCCTAAAGCGATGGCGATGATGGGTTTTGCTTATGCTAAAAAACAAAAGCCAGGGGCTACATTCACACAACACCCCTAACTGAGGCCTGGCAGAGGCGTTTCCCAAATGTAAGTTCGCTTAGGGTCAAACTTTTTTTTTTTTTAAGCTGTCTTCTTTTTTCAGCCAGGCAGATGTGTAAGTGGTTTGGCCTCTAGACGCGAATTTGTAAGGACAGACCTGGGTGTTTTTAGTTCGTGTGAAAAGCAGTGGGGCATTAAAGAGAAGGCAGATGTTGGGGTGGTTTCCCCCTATTTTTCTCTGATTTTCCGTAACGCTCCCCTCACCCACCTGGCATCTTCCAGATGTGCTGGAGGTGTGTCTCCCCCGTGCCCAGTCAGTTGCCACACATCTGGAGTGCCTTGATTTGTGGATAGCAGAATAATCTCCAATCCTTCTTAACCTTTTTGTTCACGTAAAACCTGAGTTAGAGAGTGAGGCCAGTTTTCTTTGGCATCACACCTGACATTAACTCAGATTGAAATCCGGCTTTTCCCATTGGCACTGCTTGCCAAAAGCCAACTGGGAAATTCACAAATTACAATCAGGTGATCCCAGGATGCTGCAACCTTGGAAAATATATGCCGGGTTACCAAGTGACCAAATTTTGATCAAGTGACCAGGGGGAAGGGATGCTGCGACGGCCGTTAAATGTGAGGACAGCTCATAAGGCCCTTTTGAATTGTCGCTAAATGAATGGAGCACTTCCTGTCTGCCAAAATTCAATTGCAAAAATAAAGGAGAGGAAGGAATAACGGAATATATATATATATATATAACAGAGGATGTCTGTTAACAGATAGTCTGTTTTGCATGTTCAGGCTGATATCAGTCTGGAAAAGGCTGACATTTTTTGAAAAACCCAAGACGGTTAACCATTCATATCCCCAGCTTTAAAAAATGTTGTTATTATTATTTTGTGTGGGCAATCTGTGGTTAGGTTCACAGTCAGAGGCTGGTGGAAACTTAATATGGGTAGTCCTCGACTTACAACAGTTCATTTAGTGACCGTTTGAAGTTACAACGGCACTGAAAAAAGTGACATGACTGTTTTTCACACTTATGACCATTGCAGCATCCCCATAGTCATGTGATCAATTCAATCTAAATCCTAATCAAGGACTTAAAAAGGTAGCGCTAAGGACATAGATAAGTGGTTCTCAACCTGTGGGTCGGGACCCCATTTGGGGTCGAACGACCATTTCACGGGGATCGCCAAACAACACAGTCCGCCATTTTTTCCCCCTTTTCCTTAGCTGTGATACTCCCTTTTTGAAAGCCAATAGAATAGACTCTCTTGAATAGAG